CTACAAATTCCATTTTTAAACACCTCAAAATGATTGTGTCAAAAATCCGCATATTATAAATATCTTACTATATCAGTTTATGTAAATAAATAGAAAATTTAAATTTAGTTGGCGCTTGAAATATTTATACATTTTTTTCACTATACACATCTTCGAGATATGTAAATCTATTGCAAATCTAAACATTTTTATATATATTTTTTTTATTAGATTAACATTTTTATTTTTAAAATTTTTTGTTTTATAAATTATTGAGAGTTTCGTTTTAGTAATTCAAATTATGTTTTTATTAAATTTTTTATTCATAGTGACTTCCACTCTTACATTACTTCAAGTTTTGTAAGTTTTTATTTAGCAACTAATTTCGTTGATAGTTTTTTTTTCTTTATAAATTAAACAAAATAAAATCATTTGAGTAAGTCCCAAGCAATTAAACAGCCTCAACGTATTTTAAAAAAATTTAAAGCATACTTTTAGAGTGCTAGCAATTAGCCAATACATAAACCTAACGTACTAAAGTAGTAAGAATACAGAGTTGTCATATAAAATATTATTTTTAAAAAATATTAACAGTTAATGGCGAACATATTTGTATTAAATTAATAATAACGAAGATATTATATATAGATTATTTATATACATAAATGCTGGAGCTCATGCTCTAGTCCACAAACCGAAACAAAAATTTTCTGGCAGATGTAAAATATCGAAAGCCATAGTGTGAGACTTGAACCCACCAAAACTACATCTTAGACATGTAAAATGGACAAATTTCAATTATTGGCCCGTTAAAATCAAAATCTTAAACCCCATTCCAGTTATCAGTGTCTCCAAATTGCAGATATAACACATACTATAACTGCATAAAAGAGTAACTCCAATTTTATTTTAAATAACGTTCAAGTTTTCAGTAAGTATTAGACTTTTCAAAGTGCCATGGTACATCCGCACAAATGACATGCTAGAAACCTCAGAATAGACCTGGTCAAAAAATACATAAGGGATAGAGTTCTGAAGCTATTCGCGAAAACCGACAGGCTGCTCTACTTAGCACTATCTAATCTCAGAATAATCACTAGCCGCACGGGGCGGTAAGCAGATCTTAGATCAGTCATCGAATAATCACGAAGCTCTTGAGAAATACATAAATCAAGTCATTAAGGAGGGTGCAACTCTGCAGAAACCCCCTAGCTATCAAAGAGTAAAAGTGCCCAGGTGCACTAACTCGGAAAAGGTTCAACATGAAGTATTAATAATGAAACTACGAAACGAAATTTATTCACATTAAAATATTTCTGCCAATTTCCGTATATAAAAAATACGATTCTTTTTTCATCCTACGATCGACACATAAAATCTGTTAAGGTTCCAGTCACCTAAGTGTAACGATATCCGAAAACAAATAAAACCGACTACTTAAATACCGACTACTTTACTCATATGAAAGTAACGAATATCAGAAAGAATTGGTATTGTAAAAAAGTACGAATAATTATATCAAACTGTCACTAAATATAGACAATGATACTTCAAATTATATCATTTAAAAATATAATTCTTATAGATAATAAGGATTTAAGTAATTTTTATTGGGCCTAGAAGAATAGAAAGGTCCATGTTTCGCGAATATGTGGTTAGTGGATTATATGTTCTTGCAAAAAAGGAGACAATACTAGAGCAGAAGTAAGAACAATTATAATAAAAAATAACTTTAGTTTTAACTTATGGAAGCGTAACCTGAACTTTTTGGACGTGGGTGTATAGACATATTAGCAAATTTTCTGATTTTAATATAGATAATTAATGACTTTTGATGAACAAAATGCGTGAATGGAAATAAGTCATACGAAGTAAATTTAAAAAAAATTGGTTGAAAAGTATATATGCCTTGTGAAATTTTGAAAAAAAAATATAATTATTACATCAGAAATATATAAGTATATTTAAATTTCTTTTGATGTGGATATCGCGTTTGCTCACACGGAACCCAACTCAATAATGCGTTGATATTTCAGAGTGGTGTTGGGAGCTATTCCAGTAAGATAAGAATAATTTTTGTGTCAGTATATGACAATTGTTAAAAGCTGACCTACTGCAACAAATCTACATCAAAAAGATAGCCACCTGTGGATAGCGTGACACTTGGAAGTTATCGAAGATGATCGAAACCTCAAAAGTAAGCTGGCAAGGTTATGACAAGCTCATTGCGGAACGCGAATGGTATTAAGTTCATGGATTATCTTGGATTAGTATGTGAGAATGGTAGAAACATCATTTCCTACCACATATCTTTAACGAAAGGAACATCAGAGTGGACATCAGCTGTTAAAAGTAATCGAAAGCGATCAAAACGTCAAAAGTTTTGATCCTTATTATCCTTATTTTAAAACGCGCACAGGTCAACTACTATTTTAAGAAAAAATAAACTATCAATATTAAATATTATATTGTATTATTGGAATGATTATGTGTAAAAATCAGGAACAAATGCCCCCATATGTGAAAGAAAAAGTAGTTATTTCGAAGGCAATATCCTGATGTGTCATAAGTCGATGACCACAATGGTTAAATTGAATAAGTTACGCTTTGAATTGCAAATATCATACCCTCCAAATCTGACATCCAGACAGTATTTTACTGGTATTTGCAGGCATCAAAATGATACTGTAGGGAAAGAAATTAAGCAGAAATAAAGAAGTTATTGACGAAGCTAAAGCCTATTTTGAAATTAACGATTAGGGTTCTTGAGGTAAACCGATAGCAAATCTATCAAATTTTCTTAGAATACATAACACTAATAAAATCGGTGACCAATTTTTAAGTATTTTTTTACTCAATGTACATATTTTACTAAAATTATTAATATTAAAAGTTACTTACGGTTCAGCTTCTATTGATTTCAATTTAGCCACGTAATTCGATGGTATATAGCCTTCTTGACGTGTCTTCTTACTTCGCGCCAACCACCAGTCTCCCTGAAATTAATTTTAAATTATTAAATAAATTGTTTAAAAATAATATGTATAGATTTTTTTTTTTTTTGAAAGTTCCTAATACTAAATATTCTTACACTATATGTCGATATTATATTGGATCTCGAGATATCAGACTTCAAAGTTGTAGTGTTTTAGATTGATTGTACAAACAAGAAGTAGGCATAATAAGCAACTAGCTGTGCTTAAATGGTTTACCTATTTATTATTTGTATAGTTAGTTAGTTAGTTGTGGTGGAAGGAGGACGAGTCCTCCTCAATTAGCTAAAGAAAAAGCCGTTTTGTATTCACAAAAAACCTGTGGTGATAGTGGGTAGTAGTTAGAGGGTCAAACTAGAACCAGCCAGAGGCATTAACAAAGGCAAGAATCTGGCTAATGCTAATGCTGGAGATATCGCTAAGTGAGTTGAAGAAGGGGGCCCCTAGAAACTTAAACCTAGTTCTGGCCAGACCTGGACAAAGACATATCAGGTGTTCTGGTGTCATTTCTTCAAAAGGTGGTAGACACGCACAACAAGAGGTACAACAGGAAAGGCCGAGTCTAGCTCCATGCCGTCCTATGGACCAGTGTCCCGAAAACACAGACAGATATTAGCTCAGATACCTCAGACTTGTTTTTACAGATTAAGTCAGAGGTTCTATATTTGGAATAGATTGGCCAAGTAGCCCTTGACCTGGCTGCTGAGGCAGTAAGGGTCCACTCACTATTTGCCTGTCGCAAAAAAGGGTCATAAATCAGCTTACGACCGTAGCTGACAGGGGCAGGGATCGAAATAGGAGTATCCCTGAAAGAGGCGCTTAGTTTAGCAACGTCAGCGCGCTCATTTTTTACAATATTAGAATGCCCAGGACCCCAGACTAAAGTAACCTTGGACCTCTCGCTTAGTTCACTGATAATTTCCTTACATTCTTCTACTAATCTCGATGACAAACAGACTGCTGATATAGCTTTTATACTATTTGTATAATTGTAAAAAATTAACTCCAGAACCAAGCTATATCCTTAGTAGAAAAAGTTACTAAAAATGGCAAACTTTAAAAATTCGTCGTCAAATTGCAGTGTACCAGAAATTGTAATCTACCCATATAAAAAATGGTTATATACAAAAAACAAAAACAAAATATATACAATTTAATTTACTTTAGCAATAAATTATTATTAACAACCAAAGTCTTAATTAATTTGATACACAATAATCAAAGAATTTCAAATAAATTTATATAAATAAATATTAATACATTTTTTCACTTGAATTCCAATTCCAATTTTCTTATCAAACTTGATAACATACTAGTTTTAATGGATTTTGGTTGACAGTGTAATTAGTTAACGAGCGATTGAATGCGTAAATTAGATAAATTTGATAAGAACTTATCTAATGTAAATATATTAACGTAAAAAGTTGTAAACAATATTAGTAATCTATTGTTAAAACGTCATACAATGGTCTCATCAACTGGTCTTCAAGCAGTTGATTATAAAAGCATATCTGATAATTCCAGATATGCTTCATTTCCATTAAACTGCAATTAATGCTCTTCGATTCTTAAACATAAATTCAAAAGTAATTTAAAAGCCAAACTGAAAACTGATGGGTTAAATCGACTTATTGATATTACTTTCATTCCGTTTAGAGAAGTAGTTCCCGTTACTCTTTTTTGCTAGTCAATAATAGGTAGAAGACACTTACGTCATGTGTAAAAAACCGTTACTCTTTTTTGCTAGTCAATAATAGGTAGAAGACACTTACGTCATGTGTAAAAAACCGTAATACAAATATAAGAAAATATCAGATAAGATAAAAATGGAAATATAATATAATGTGGATTTGGCACATTCATATAATTTTTTTAAACATTATTTTCCTTAATATATAAAAAACCTTAATTTCAAAAATATATCTAACAATAGAGTTTTCTGTCAAATTATATAGATTTGTTTTAACTAAAAAAGAAGATTGACAGTATTTAAAAAATATATATATTAAAAAAAAGAGAAGTAAAAATTTTATGGAATCTTAAAGAAAAATTTAGTCTTTTTTAATATGGAGGATGAGGACTGCCCTACGGAGTTTTCAGACCATTATAAAGTTGTAAAAGACATGTATGCCGAAGTGCAATGTTTTTTATCAACGCTAATTGCGAATCCTCCAAAAACATGTGCGGAACATGTCACATTGAGCACAGCCTTGCATGTAAGTTTGATATTTTTTTCATTATAACAATATGGTTTAAAAATATAACAAAGTATTAATAAAATAAATTGTAGCTTCAACTGACAAATTTCATAGTAGCTTCAAGAAAATTAATGCAAGAATATGAAGAACAATATGATTTTAATTCTAAGTGCGCTCAACATGATTTTTCAGAAATTCCTCCATTGGAAGAACCATGTCATGAAGATCTCTCCCAAGTAGCACTTGTATGGGAATATTATAGTCAACAAAATCCTGCACAATTTAATGCAGCATTAATTCAACAGAGTAATCAAAAAAATTTGCATCCTCCTTTACATAACCAAAATAAGGAATATACACATTATCCAAGTAAAAGAAATCTTTCCCAAATTGAAATTTCATGGCAATATTGTAATGAACTAAGTCCTTTGAGGCCCGGTTCTCCACTACATAATCAGTTACAAGTAGAAGACAATTCACAAGATTTTCGGTTGCAATGTCAAAACGAATACAATGGTTTTAGACGAGGCGTTCCACTGCAACAAGGTCAAGGTCATAATCAGTTGCAATGTCAAAATAACGTTAATAGTTACGAACAGGGTTCTCCAATGCAATGTCGAAATGAACAAAACGGTTATAAACAAATTGTTTCATATCAATGCCAAAAGGGAAGTAACTATGAACAAAATAGTAACGAACAAAATTATCTTATCCAATGTAATAACCAATATGGAACTAATCACAATCCAATGCAACCTAGCACAATATTAACGCCACAATACCAACAATATCCATTCCACAATTTCGGAACGTCAAATTTATCTTCGCAGTATCAAAATCAACAGCAACAATTTGATGATTCTTTAAGATCAAATCTACTTCCGAAATATCAAAATCAAGTTGAACAAACCTGTGAATGTGGAAGAACAACTTTATCTCCGCAATATCAAAAGAAACAAATGCAAACTTTCGAATGTGAAAGAAAAAATTTACCTCCACAATATCAAAATCAACAAAAGTCATCATACAATCGTGAAACATCAAGTTTACCACCCCAATTTCAGAATCAATCTTGTGTTCCTTTAAGATCAAATCCACCATTGCAGTATCAGAACCAAGCTTTCATTGCAGAAAGATCAAATGCACCTTTGAATTATCAAAATCAACCAAATCAAGCTTATGATCCTGGAAGGGCCTGTTTATCACAGCAACATCAGAATCAATTGGATCAACCTTGCTATCCTGGAATATCAAATCCACTGCTCAATTACCAGAACCAACTGAACCAAACATATGATACTAGAAGACCAAATATACCTTCGCAATATCAAAATCAACAAAATCAAGCTTCCGAGTTTGAAAGGTCAAATACACCACCGCAATATCAGATTCAACCAAATCAAGATTGCAATCCTAAAAGATCCAATTCACCTTCGCAATATCAGAATCAACCAAATCAAGCTTGCAATCCTAAAAGATCAAATTCACCTTCGCAATATCAGAATCAACCAAATCCTAATCCTAAAAGATCAAATTCACCTTCACAATATCAGATTCAACAAAATCAAGTTTGTAGTCCTAAAAGATCAAATTCACCTTCACAATATCAGAATCAACCAAATCAAGTTTGCAATCCTAAAAGATCAAATTCACCTTCACAATATCAGAATCAACCAAATCAAGTTTGCAGCCCTAAAAGATCAAATTCACCTTCGCAATATCAGAATCAATCAAATCAAGTTTGCAATCCTAAAAGATCAAATTCACCTCCGCAATATCAGAATCAACCAAATCAGACTTGCAATCCTAAAAGATCAAATTCACCTTCACAATATCAGATTCAACAAAATCAAGTTTGCAGTCCTAAAAGATCAAATTCACCTTCGCAATATCAGAATCAACCAAATCAAGTTTGCAATCCTAAAAGATCAAATTCACCTTCGCAATATCAGAATCAACCAAATCAAGTTGCAATCCTAAAAGATCAAATTCACCTTCGCAATATCGGAATCAATCAAATCAGACTTGCAATTCTAAAAGATCAAATTCACCTTCGCAATATCAGAATCAAACAAATCAAGCTTGCAATCCTAAAAGATCAAATTCATCTTCACAATATCAGAATCAACCGAATCAAGTTTGCAATCCTAAAAGATCAAATTCACCTTCACAATATCAGAATCAACCAAATCAAGTTTGCATTCCTAAAAGATCAAATTCACCTTCGCAATATCAGAATCAAACAAATCAAGTTTGCAGTCCTAAAAGATCAAATTCACCTTCGCAATATCAGAATCAACCAAATCAAGTTTGCAGTCCTAAAAGATCAAATTCACCTTCGCAATATCAGAATCAATCAAATCAGACTTGCAGTCCTGAAAGACCAAATTCACCTTTGCAATATCAGAACCAACCAAATCAAGTTTGCAATCCTAAAAGATCAAATTCACCTTCGCAATATCAGAGTCAGCAAAATCAAGTTTGCAGTCCTAAAAGATCAAATTCACCTTCACAATATCAGAATCAACCAAATCAGACTTGCAATCTTAAAAGATCAAATTCACCTTCGCAATATCAGAATCAAACAAATCAGACTTGCAGTCCTGAAAGATCAAATTCACCTTCGCAATATCAGAACCAACCAAATCAAGTTTGCAATCCTAAAAGATCAAATTCACCTTCGCAATATCAGAGTCAGCAAAATCAAGTTTGTTGTCCTAAAAGATCAAATTCACCTTCGCAATATCAGAATCAGCAAAATCAAGTTTGCAAATGTGGTAGAACTAGTTTACCAGTTCAATATCAAAACCAACCAAAACGGGCAACCGAATCTAGAGGTTCAAATTTTCCATTTCAATATCAGAATCAGCTGAATTGCTTAAATCATGATTCCAATTTGACTTATCAAAGAGGATATAAAGCTCAAAATATGCCAGTAAACATTTGTGCAACATCAAACTCACCTAGAGCATTTCCTAATCAACTAAATGCTTTTAAACATAGTCCGCCCTTAAAATATCAGAACCAACAAAATCAACCTTGCGATCTTACAGGAGCAAATGCACCATTGCCATATGAGGGTGGACGAAATTCCTTAAAACAGAATTTTCCACGTCAAAATCAATATGCGCCTAATCTGCAGAACAAAGCAATAGAAGAGCCTTGTGGCGGTCCTTGCTCCCCACAGCAATACCGAAGTCAGAACAATTACGTACAGGGTTCTTTAATACAATGTCGGAATGAATGTAATTCCTCTGATTTGTCAGAAAAAAGAATCAACAAACCGCAATGGAAAAGAACTACTAGTTATACACAATTCCCAAAGGGAGGTCAACATTGTCACAAGCGCGTTATTCGAGCTGTAATTCATCCTCAACCTACACATGGTTTTATGTGTGAGGAAAGAGAAAAATTTGGTGCTAAACCTGAAAGAGACAAAGTAAAATCAGGCACGGAAAATTGCTCAAAACAATGCATGAATAACACTTCTGGTATGAGGACGAAATGTTCTCAACAAAATCCTATTCAAAAGGAATATGAAACTCTATCAGAACAGGAAATAGATGAGGCGCTGTTATACAAAATATTATGTTTAGAGTGTTGGCCAATGTTACAAGCCCAAAAACAAAATAAATTGAAAAACTTGACAGCAAATGAACAGCAATCAAAACGATGTACTGCCAATAGCAATCCTAAGGAAAATCGTGCTCGAACTTTGCAAAATAAACCTGGACAACTATGTATACCGCGAAAAAACAGAAATGGTAACCTCAAACATCAGACAATGCCATGCAATACTAAACCTAAACATGATATAAAACCTATTTTGCGTTGTAAATGCAAACCTGCTCAAAATCATAGAAGAGTTAAATTTGAACAATGTGCAAAATTTCCTGCATTTCGGAAAACAGGTGGTCAGAATAAAATGCTACAGTATATTGATGAATTACTGATTGAAAAGTTGGGCATGAGTTTGTATGACACTACAAACTCTGAAACATCTTGGACAGATATAAGTCAGGAAGACAATACAACAGTGTCGGAGGAAAGTGAAGAATATGAACAGGAATATCCAACTACCTCAAACAGAAGACACAATGAACTTTCTTGTGACCAAAGAAGAAAAGAGACGGAATTGCATGACGAAATTAATAGTCTGTTTCAAGAAGATGATGAAAGTTTTGATGATCTTTACTACCTTCCTAGTGTAAAAGAAGAGGAAAATTCTAAAAAATATCATTCGATACTTGTTAAAAGGCAACCTAGTAACTTAACTGATGGGGAGAGTTTGATGGGAGGTAATCAAAGTAAGGCACAACAGCGATCACCTTCAGCTCCAAAAAAGGTTGTATGTTTCAATGAAGCATTAAATCAAAAATATGAGATAAGTTCTATTTATGCGGAATGCCGGGCTGGACCATATGTAAAAAAACGCAAAATCCAACGAATGAGAAAGAATATACGAAAATATATGATGAAATATTCACAAAATCTAAATTCAAACTTGGAAGAAAGTTTTTCGAATACATATACTCCAGGACGTAAAATTACTAAATACTAAGTAGAAAATATTTATAATTTGAACCAAGTTTATTCTATTGTTGTTCTTTAATTTGTTGTTAAAATATTGTTTTGCTGATAAATCTCTTGTATGTAGGAAAAAAAACGCGAATTTAAACATAAAAATATATTTTTGAATGAATCACTCTTGGATCCAAAAAATTATTTATTTAATAATTAAACAGTTAAATATATTTAAATAATATAATATTATGTATTATTATGAATATTGAATAGGCACATTTTTAAATATTTTACAAACAGTGAGCAAAAAAAATTATGCTGGCTAGCAGCACCAAAAATGTGAAAAGAAAGAAACTCCGGACGGACACTTGCTTCCATGATACCTGTAAGGTATGAAGAGAGATAAAAAAAAAATATTTATTGTGTTCTCTGATGAGAAAAGACCTGTTGGAGCCTGGTGTTAAAGTCAATGCAATTTATTATCGGGAAAAAGTTTTGTAAGTTGCTTTAGAGCTGTGGGCACGCAAACTTTTCGGTCATAGACCATGGACTCTCCAACAAGATTCGGCTCTGGTCTCGATCTCATAAAGCTCGTGTCAACCAAGAATATTTAAAAAATCATGGACTATTCCATCTGGGTCATTTTGGAGAGCAAGGTTAGGATTAGGACTAAACAATATGTCAGTGCAGATTCGTTAAAGAATGCTATTGTTAAGTAATATGCCAAAATACTGGAAGAACACATTTGTGAAAAATGTTTAAGTGTTGACTCAGCCTGTCATAATGTGTTTAAGCAGCCTTCTGTATTTCTTGCCTGACAGTAGGTATTTCAAGGGCATGATGTAGATCAACAATTCACACGTACCACGGAGCGTTAACTGCATCTCTGAGTGCTTTATTTTGGAACCTTTGCATCATATCTATAATATGATTTTTTGCACAACCCCAAAGTTGGAAACCATAGAGCCGGCTTGAAAACTTGTTTGTAGATCATAAGTTTGTTTTGCTGAGATACTTTAGATCTCCTTTCAATAAGCCAAGTTAACTTTTTATATCTTATGTTTAGCTCAGTTAATTTTTTCTTGACGTGTACCTTCCAGCTTAGTTTGGCATCTAGGATCATGACCAGATATTTCGCAGAATTAGCAACTGGAATTTTTACGCTATTTAGTTTTAATTAAACTAAATAACTGTTATGTTTCTTGGATATTCCGACGGTTGCCGAAATAATAACGCTTAAGGTTGAAACACATAAGAAAAGAATTGAAGTTCACTGTAACACAGAAGCTCTATCACACTTTCAAACAGAAAACCTCATACGACGGATTAAGAGTATTGCTAATTAGTTTTTTTTTTTAACTAGGCGCAATTGAATACAATCAATAAAAAAAGTTTTGTTGTAGGTCTTTAAAGTACCAGTTATCTCCAGCAATTTCGCTTTAAGATGTGCTAAAATGATTTTGTGGATTTTTTTGATGCTATACGGTGCTATCACCACCAAAGCGTTCGACATCATCCATCAAATAATGGATTGAATCATTATAGTTGAAAACGGTACCCAGCTTTGACATTAACATATTATATCTGAGAAATACTATACAACCTGACAATTACGCAGCCCTGACATAAATTATATACAAGTAATTGAATATGATATATATTATATTAAAGGAGAATGATGTCATAATTTTTGGAGATACCTACACAATAATGAGCTGACATATTATTGCAATAGTATATATAACATATATTATATGTACAACATTATTAACTTTGTGGAATTTAAATGAGTAAAATATCTTAAAATTGAATAAATTCATTGCATGAGATTTTCAAGCCATTAGGTTTAGATTTAAATAAAAATTCATATTTGAATAAATAAAAATAAAAATAAAAATAGTAGTGTAAATATATCTAGAACGCTTTTTGTACCATGGCATTTAACCGCATTTTTCAGTAACTTGAATTTCATTCAGATAACCTTGATTGTCTGCATTTGGTTTTAATTGTCGATAAGTAAATGCAAGCTGCAATTTAGTATTATTTACATATAAATAAAAACAAATAATAAATAAGAACCTAATAACTGAATATGATATTGCTTGTTTTTAATAGACAATTTAATTTCAAATCTTTATAAGTTTATTAACAATGAATTGAAAGTGAAAACCAGAAGCCACCCGTTTGCGTGAATTGATTACAAAACAAAATATATTAATGGCTTTAGAATAATTCATTTAACAAAATAATTACTATTTAAGTACATATTCAGAATATAATGTACCGAATTTGCATATACTACAATATATAATTAATTGGTTTATAAAAATTATAGTTTATTGATTAAAAAATAAACTCTTTCACTTCACTCAGACATGCAATCAATTTATCTAAAATTGGAAAATACACATGACAAAGTGACAGCTAACACTACCGAAGTATACAAATGTTGAACATTTTACTTAACTAATCAGTGAAGTGAAAGACTCCCACTTCCTATTTCACCATATGCAAGAAGTCGTTACCACATTGTAAAAATTGAACAAAGAATCTTAAAATGGCTTAAAACCTATATAATGTACCCGTAAAATCTTTGGTATATCACAAAAATATGGTTCATCGCAACAGTAATTACAGTAATGTCGGATGACAATCTTTTGTTGATAAATGACTGAAAAATATATTTACAATAAGGGGATTTATGACTTCAAATAGCAAAGATCTGTAACGAATAACTAACTAGTTGAGTGTTAATGTTGAAAAATAAATTTACAAATCCAACTTAATGACTGATGCCACACACCAACCATATGATCCTACAGATTTATAGAATGGCAGGGTCTATAAGCGAGTGTTATTCGTCTTTCCAGACAGCAACAAAGATCTCTATCGGTTACAACAACAGTTTTGGCTGCGGTGACAACAAGAACAATAGAAACAATAACGATATTCTATACGCTGCAGTGGCATGCAATTCATAGGGTCGCCCGACCGGTGATATTGTAGAGAAGAAAGATCCAAAACGAAACTGACAATTTATTAAAAGTGTAATGGCACGTAATAAAAATAAGTAAAAACAGTACTAAAAAAACTAAAGTTCCTGATTAAATTATAATTATTGGTTAAATTATTGGCTACTAACTATTGAATAAACAAAAATTATAAGAAATTTATACGTTAAATTGACTGCATATAGCTTGTCAACAGCATTTATTTAATCTGATCGACAAACTGTCCATTGCTCAAACGCAAAAGACAAATTTATTTACTGTTAATAGAAGAATTTATATCGGTTTGTAGTTCACCATATCAATCTATTAACGATAGAATCTTTTCTATTGTCTATCAGTGATAGACAATCCAGAATAAGCACTAATATTAATATATATTGGTACATATATTAATATTACACATGAACTTTTTATATGCATATAATACATTTACATATGTATTCCATAGGCACGATACCGATTTCCCATCATGCCCATATGGATTATTGGCGTAACTTTTTCCACTATGCAATATGCCAACATCCCCGTGAAAGAAAACGGGATGTATCGCATAAGATACAACCACGAGCTAGAGCGGTTAGCTAAAGATGATACAAATAACAAATTTGTGAAAAAGTAGCGATTAAGATGGGTTGGACATGTGATAAGAGAGTATGATATGAGAGTATCGCTTAAGATATATGAGAACGAAGTGGGAACCAGTAGAAGAAGAGGGCGACCACGAAAATGATGGAAACACAGTGTGCAGCAGGACTTAGAAGAATTAAACATAAGAAATTGGAAAAGCAAAAAGCAGAGAAAAATGGAAGACTGTTGTTAAACAGGCATAGGTCCTACATCGACTGTATAGTCACAGATGATAATGATGATGAATATGTCAACATACGACACTTGTTTCATTAATTACAACAACAAAATCAACAATAGTGATTTAATGTGAGCTACTACATGCAATTCTTACACTGATTATAGAAACAACGGGCCACAATAGTTAGATGCAACAGATGGCGCGTCTGTTTGTTGTTGATAGTTTCTAAGCTAAAATTAAAATTTTAAGACCCCATATCGAAAAGGCTAAGCTATATTCACATATTGAAAAAAGTAGTGGAAAAAGTTGTTCATAATACTTGACTTAATTAAAATTCTTTGTCAAATGGACATGTCCGGAGAGTAGGAATCGTGCTACTCTATGTTAGTTATTATTAGCACATGATAAACACGCATATTGATTGAATTATATCTTAGCTTTTTTTATTATCATTTAGATATAAAAGCCAGTGAATTCTATTATAAAATTTTAAACCTTTTCAACATTATCGTTTTTAAATTTAGCAAGAAAAAAATTTTATTTTTAATTTAATCATTATCAAACGCTTAACAACTTTTTGACTCTATTGAAGAAAAAAAAAAATAATTATTATAAAAACTTTTGTGTATACTTGTTTACATATAAAAACGCGGAACATAAATAACTTTTTTTTTAATTTCGCTTAAGGTGATTCATTTATTTTTTGCCCAAATTTTATACTCTTTTCATATTTAGTCGAAGAAATTTTATTTCTGCTTATTTGGTGGAATTAAATAAATTACGAAAAAAGCCAGCAACGTGTGGCTAAAATTTTACAGATTTTTTTAAAAAAATTTTGTAATTAAAATTCAGTTAGTGTTTAAAATAAAGAAAGGCTTATTTTGTAATGATTTGAAAGGCACTAAAAAATAAACTTAAATTACAATATATATGAAAGGCAGATAACTATTTTCGTTGTTAATTTTATTTTTATATTTACATTAAAATTTTCAAACAGTCAAGAAAAAAGCAGGAATACCATCAAATATAATTGAATCAGAGAGTATAGTAGGCAGTAAAGTGTACAACAGATGGAATATATATTTTGTAAAATGAATTATCATAACTAATGAAAAAGCAAGTCCATGGAGGTTACATTGATACTTAGTCAAAAAATTTCAATTTAAAATCGAACGGATTAAATCTGGGTTCCTGGACATAAGAACATTGGAGTGAATG